ATTTAGTTGACTAACTGTATTTTGAACGCTATCTTGTTTTATTTGTTTATTTATTTATTAATTCATTCATTGATTCATTCATTCAGTCATTCGTTCATTTAGTTGAGTAAGCATATTTTGAACGTTATCTTGTTTTATTTATTTATTTATTTATTTATTTATTTATTCATTCATTCATTTAGTTGAGTAACCGCATTTTGAACGCCATCTTGTTGTGTTTATTTATTTATTTATTTATTTATTATTTATTGAGTTGTCTTCATTCGGCTTGTTTTCGGTCAGATGTCTGTTAATTTATTAAGGATCGCATCATTTCCAGCTTTCAGCTGTGTTTTGAAAACGTTTTTCTTTTCTGCTTTTTCCACTTATTACATGTCTTAAGGAATATGATTTAATTGCTGCTACCTCTATGAGCTAAATTTAGTACACATAAATGTAAACACGGAGGTAAACATTGCTGAACTTCTGTCTCTCACAGAAGTTCAACAATGCCTAAAAAAAAACATTGTAACATTGTTGCACATTTTGTAAATATTTGTAAATATTTTAATGCTTTGAATAACTTTTTCCATTTCCATGGTTTATTTATTTATTTATTTTTTGTACGCACAAAAAATAGTCATGTGTTCATAGATAAATATTTAAAGTGTGTGTGTGTGTGTGTGTGTGTGTGTGTGTTACAGCTCGGCCTGATGGGAAAATGAGCCTCTGGACGGACAACCTACATGATTGTCTCATGATTTTGCGTTTTTCCCACATTAATAATTATTTAATTTTATGTCTGTTTATGTATGATATGCATTAGAATATCCGCAAACGATTCTCATGAATATTAATTTTAGGCGTGATAATATTGCAAAAGCGTAGGTTATAGATATGAATTATTCTTGTTTATTCAGCGAAAGCGTATTACGTTGATTGGTAAACCTTTTTTACAGTCGATGGTTCAGTCACGTTAGGTAATTAATATTCATGATCAAGTCGTAACCTTAGTATGTTTGCGCCAATAAAAAGTTTCCCTATTTCATCGGGTTGTATTTATTTATTTATTTTCAAAATCAGAATCAGAATCAGAATCAGAAAGAGCTTTATTGCCAAGTATGTTTGCACATACAAGGAATTTGTTATAGTGTCACAAGCTTCCAGTACACGGAGACAACAACAACACACAGATAATAAAAGTGAGATGTGAATAAAATACACATGCATAAATATAAACCACAAAAAAAAAAAGAATAAATTGTATGTAAAATGTAAAGGCTGAGATATCATATACTATTATGAAAGAGTATATGATAGTCTTTCATGACTGATGATTTCTCTCTCTCTCTCTCTCTCTCTCTCTCATGAGTTATAGGCCTACCCCTGAGAAACACTTTAATAGCATTTTTTCCCACTGATCTATAATGGAGAGCATTATACAGATCAGTAATCCCCCCCCCCCACAATGTGTCAATAGCCTACACAACAAATAACCATTCATAACCATCTTCCTGAACTAATATTTAACCCCACTTCGCTTAATTTTTTTTTTTTTAAAGTCGGGTCTTGATTAATTTGGCTTCATGTATAAAGCATTTCGCAAGAATTAATGTATAGTTTACGATATAATCTCTGTTTGAATTCACCAAAAACAAAAAGACCAGCAGCACTGCAGTAGCCATCTGTCGTCCAGCAGGTGGCGCAATTTCATCAGATTTGACAGCTAAAGCGCCCGTGCCAGGTGGCCCTGTGTAGTTCGTTCTGTGCTTTATTTTTGAGGAGTGACTTTTATTTATTGCGAGGAGTAAACGAATACAACAAAAAGTGCTTAGTTACATATAAAAAAAGATTACAAAATAAAAACAAATATTATTATCAAAATAAACAATAATAAAACACTATTAAAATTACAGATGAAAATGGTTGGTTTCTTGTTAGAACACTGTCATAAAGCATTTCAAAGAAACAATACAAAAACTAAAACTATACTGCTAACTAAAATGATTAAACATTTCTGTTAATTGAAATAAAGCTGATATAAAAGAAAATATAATATTAAGGGAAAAAAATAAATAAACGAAAATTACAAATGTAGCTTTGGCAACTGAAATTAGTTTAAGTCGAAGCATTAAAATTACTAAATGGAATTAAAACCAAAACAGAACAAATAATAAAAAATCATAATAATAAATAAATAAATCTTAAATAGTACAGAAAAAGCACATATCAAAATGACTAACAAATGAAAACGATATACTTATTATATACTTTTGTAGGCTACTACCATAGTAGAGGAGATCGGGGTGATTAGAGCCTGTGGGGAAGTTCAGCCACCCCTTGTTTCTAGACAACCTGAAACTAAATTGGTGATGTGACCCACAAATATATGAAGAGCTAACCATTTTACTAACTCTGTGATGGAGAGAAGCCCATGGAATAATTGGTAACTACATTTAAGTTTAAACAAAACAGT